AGAGGCAGCCAACATGGTTTCCAACTATTTGCCCTCTTAATAGCAGAGTTTGAAAGTTCCTTTTTGCTCACATGCTGCAAACACTCAATGTATCAATATTTGTAATGATATCTTTTCTGGAAGGTTATAGAATTATCTCATTGTGATCTTAATTTGCATTTTCTAGATCATTAACCAGTCTAGCACATTTTTACATTTTTATTGGCCACTGAAGATCCTCTTTGTTGGAGGAATCTGTTCACCCCTTGTGCTCATTTCTTGGTTGATTGTGTCTCCTTTTTCTTACTGATGTGTAGATGTGTTAAATATGTTCTCAGATCGATGGGGTTTTCAGTTATAGGTATTGCAAATATCTTTTCCTATTCTCATACCTGTGCCTTCTGATTCACAGACATTCTTCATTTTCATGTTTAGTTAGTGCTGGAAATCTGCACGTGGGTCCCCGGTTCTGGGGCATTCTTAGGGGCATTCAGCAAAACAAAGTGAAGAATTTCTATGAAGCTGCATCTGCCCTCACAGCTCAGGGAGTCAAGGGCTGGTGACCTGGGAAACTATGGGAGGGACAGGGAGCATCCCATTCACAGCCCCATCCTCCAGGGAGCAGGCCGTTGGGGGCAGTATGGCAATGTGGTACCTTTCTTTTGCCCCTGACACGGCTGCTTAACTGTCAGGGGTATAACGTAGGGCCACAGAGATTTTGTGGATTATGTTAGCACTGTGTATAGAAAAATACATGTTGGCTCAGGAATAAAAAGAAGACTTGGAGCTCTAGGGAGATTATCACAAAAAGGGGGCCCTGCTGAAAATCATGGATGACTTTTCAGAATAGGAGAGTTTCCAACCTGATGGAGTTCAATCCCAGACTCAGGCCCTCTTCAGAAGGAAAGCAACAGCATTCCCACATGGTGCTGTATTCAGGCTCTGGCTCCAGCTCCAGTTCCTCTTTCCTCAAACAGAAGAGTGACCTGATAGAGAAATCGAGAACATAAATCATGAATACTCAGCCCTGTAGGTGAAGAGGGACATTCGTTCTCAAGAAAGACAGGAAAAGGCCAGGCGCAGAGGCTCACACCTATAATCCCAGCACTTTGGAAGTCTGAGGTGGGCAGATCACTTGAGCCCAGGAGTTCAAGGCCAGACTGGGTAACATAGCAAGACCCTGTCTCTACAATAAATACAAAAAATTAGCCAGGTGTAGTGGTGCATGCCTATGCTCCCAGCTACTCAGGAGGCTGAGGTAGGAGGATGGCTTGAGCCCAGGAGGTCGAGGCTGCAGTGAGCTATGATCACATCACTGCACTTGAATCCTGGGTGACAGAACAAGACCCTGCCTCAAAAATAAAAACTAATAAAAATAGAAAAAGGTATTCTACTTTTGTATTTTGGAGTTAAAGGCTGAGCTGGTTAGAACTAACCTGAGTTCATTCATCAACTACAAAAACAGAAATGTAACATACAAAACAGGATGCCATGCCTGTGGGCCCAGGGCAGCAGCTGAGTGACCCACAGCAGGAAAGCTGCCCTTCCATTGTTCCATCCTTTTATCAGCCCTGGTCCTCATCAACCATGGAGAGGCTTCTGGTGTGATGGAGGGCTGACCGGGGCTTAACTCTCCATGCCTGCTAGCTCACAGCCCAGCCTGACTGCTCAGGTCACAATAGGGAATGGGTGGAGCCCCACAGTCCAGACAAAGCAGCTGGGGTCACCCTGAGCTCTGTGGGGTGTGGAGGTCAGGATGGAGCTGGGGGTGAGAGGCTCAGAGTGGGAGGACTCCCCAGCCAGCTGTGCTCCTCTAAGAGGCAGCGTCTCAGATTCACGTATGTGTCAGGACAAAATAGCTAGAAGTGCACTCTAGGAATAGGCTTGGGGAATGAGAAGGGCTCTGAGGCTGCTGCTCCAAACCACTCAAGTGAAACAGCAGAGAGGGCCCCTCAGCTCTGTGCCTCTGATGACTCCTCTGTAAAATGTGGATGATGATAGCGCAGCACTATAGGGTTGAGAGGAGTAATGAGCTGATCCATGTATCCCCGCACAGCATGTGGCAAATGCCAAGCCCACGATTTTAATTCTCCATTTCTACTAATGTCTTCCTGCAAAGGAAGGCACCTTGGCCAGCAGTTTCTATGAACAAAACATGCCCAAAGTATACGTCCATACCTGGATCAGCCGCAGGGTAGCTTTTGGTGATGCAATTCTTTCATTTCGTTGTTCCTGAGGTCATCCAGAGCTCTTTGGAGCACTTTCTACATGCCAGGTTTGGAGGACGATGCAAAGATGAACCATAGATGTTCTCTCTTTGAAGCTCATCATCATCTTGGAGAAACACATTGGCAAAGAGACTACCATAATAGAATGAGGTAAGAGTATCATTGGCGGCCAGGGGAGGGGCTCAGGTGTGTGGTGGGTGGCAGAAGAGGCCATGGGGAAAATTGTCTAGAGGAAATAAGGTTTGTCTGGGCTAAGTCAATTCCCAAAGGGAAAGGCCTGGGGGAAGGACAGGAAGGCATCTGTTACAGCTTAAGTGATGGTCCCCCAAATTCTTAAGCCGATGTTCTATTCCCTAGACCTAAAGATGTGATTTTATTTGGAAGTAGGGTTCTTGACATTGTAATTGATTAAGAGGAGGTTATGCTAGAGTAGGGCAGGCTCCCAATCCAATCTGACTGGTGATCTTATATAAAGAGGCCATTTGGATCCATTCACCCACACAGGGAGAGCCCCATGTGAAGACTGGAGGTGCACTGCCACAAGCCAAGAATCTACCAGAAGCCAGGAGGGAGAAGTGGAACAGATCCTTCCCAGCACCTTCAGAGGGAGCACAGTCCTGCTAACACTGGGATTTTGGACTTCTGGCCTCCAGAGCACCTGATAATATTTCTGTTGTTCTAAGCCAGCCAGTTTGTGGAACTTTGCCATGGCAGCCCTGGCAACCCCAAGCAGCATTCTACCTGGGCCAAAAATATGTGCAGAGGTCCAGAGGCGTACGGGAACTGCAGGAACTTGTGAGTTAAATCAGAATAGAATTGCTGTTTGGGTCATTCAAAATAGGAGAATATTGACAAATTTGCATGGTTCAAGTTAGACTATCAAGTTGGAATAATGGACCAGGTTGAGTGCTAGGTGTGTGTGAGGGGTCAATTTACTGAACAAAGCTCAAATCTGAATAAGCAATCTTCTCTCCTATGTGGCCAATGAATCATTCTATAAGAAATCACCGTGGCTGTGACAGGCGTGGGAAGGACAGCTAGGATTAGCAAGGAGCTACGGTTGCAAACACTTTCCAAACTCTATCCATATTCTATTTTAGGAAAAATGACTGACTATGGGACTTTCTTTTTCCCGCTATTTTGAGGCTTTAAAATTCATCTTAAAAAGAACTATCCCATCAGAATAACTGAAAGACAGGCAGTTTATGCATTTTATTGGATGTGGAGTTTTTATCAGAACCAGCATTTACTGTGCTTCTCATAGCTGTAAGCAAAACATTAGAATTTAGCAGCTAATGCTTATCTTTCCTCTGCCAAGTGGGGTCCTGAAAAGGGAGAAAAAGCCTCCTTTCCTCTGTTCTTTGGAAATAGCATGTATTTGGGCTCAGTAAAACAAACCATCTCATCGCTGCTCTAACTGTTTGCAAACTTTTGGGCACTGGAGGGCACAGGCATATGAGATGGAACAGGGCGTAGATAAAATAATTCCTGCATTACCTGCCATCCTGCCCAAAGAAATCACACAACTTCCATGGCAGTCCCAGACTTCAGAAAGGGAGAACACAGCAAGCACCTGAATTATCTTCAGTTCGACCCCAAATCATCCAAACATTGCCTAGCATAGAAGTGGATGAATTCACATTTTAATCAAAACAGGATTGCATAGAAACATACGTCCATACGAAAACCAGTACCCAATGTTTATGGTGGCTTTCTTCTTAATTGCTAAAAACTGGTAACGACCTAAATGCCTGTCACCAGACGAAGGGATGAACAAACTGTGCTGCATCCACACAACGGTGGTACCACACAGCAGCAGAGAGGGACAGTCGACGGACACATAAGCAACTCAGGTCTCAGGGGTATCGCACCGAGCTGGAGAGGCCAGCCACAAGCCACTGCACGCTATATGATTCCATGCATATGTGGCATTCTGGGAAAGGCAAATCTCCAAGCAGTGAGAAGGTATCAGTTTTTGCCAGGGTTTGGGGTGTGGGGAAGAGGATGGATTATTAAGAAGCACAGGGGAATGTTTTGGGGTGATGAAAATGTTCTATGTCTTTTTTTTTTTTTTTTGGAGACAAATTTCACTCTTGTCACCCAGGCTGGAGTGCAATGGCGCGATCTCACCTCGGATCACTGCAACCTCCACCTCCCAGATTCAACCAATTCTCCTGCCTCAGCCTCCTGAGTAGCTAGGATTACAGGCACCTGCCACCACGCCCAGCTAATTCTTGGATTTTTAGTAGAGACAGGGTTTCATCATGTTGGTGAGGCTGGTCTCAAACTCCTGACCTCAGGTGATCCTCCTACCTCAGCCTCCCAAAGTGCTGGGATTACAGGTGTGAGCCACCATACTTGGCCAAGGTTCTATGTCTTAATTGTGGTACTGGTTGCAGACATTTACATTCATCAGAATTCACAGAACCATCCACCTTAAAGCGGTGAATTTGCTGAATAGAAATTATACCTCAAAGACCAGATGTTTAAAAACCCTTTGTGTTTTGTGAGCTTCAACACTTGCCCACTGGGAACCACAGAAGCATTGCCTAATTTGTTGAAAGCACTGCTGCCGTAACTTCATCACGTGGGGAGAAGTGATGCTTTCACACTGTCTTCATCTGCTCAGGCCACCATTACACAACGCCATAGACTGGGCCGATTGATCAACACACATGTATTTCCCACAAAGGAGGCTGGAAGTCCAAGACCCAGGTTCCTGGGGAGGGCTCTCTTCCTAGCCTGCAGGTGACCAGTGCCTGCTATGTTCTCTTATGATCCTTCCTCAGTTTCTGTACCAGAGGAGTCAGAGGGACAAGTGGGCATCCATCTTATAGGTGTCCTCATAAAGACACCATCCTATCAACCAGGACTCCACCCTGTATCTCAGTTAACCTTAATAGCTTCCTCGGTGGCCCCCTCTCCAATTATAGCCAGGGTTAGAGCTTCAGTGTGCAAACTGATGGGCCACACAAATCTTTGTCCATAACAAATGTCCAGCGGACAGGACACTCGGGTGCCCTAAGGCTGCAGGAGCTGAGGGTGATCTTGCTCAGGTACTTCTGGTTGGTAACTGCTGTGTGGGAAAAAGTCTGTCTCTCCTGGCTGGTGTCAGGAGAGACCAGGCTGAAGCCATGCAATGACAGAACCTGTGCCGGGAAGAAAGTCCTGTTTGAGACTGACCTGAAAGCTCTCCCAGGGGAAAGAGCAGGTAAGCGTGGCTCCTTGAAGGTCCAGAGGGAGAATGGGCTTCCCTGAAAGAGCTCACTGGGGCTGCACAGGGAGGGAATGAAGGGGTGGATGGGACAGGGACAGGAGGGAGGGCTGCAGCTCTGCCTGACACTAGCCCCTCTGCCCAGCAGTTCACAATTGAACCCTAGCCCCCTCCAAGGCTGAAGAGAGGGTCCCCCTAATTTGCTGTGGCTCTGGGGACCAGAGGCCCTGCTGGGATGTCCTGGTAAGCAAGGGGTCACTTGGGGTCTGTGCTCTGAACTTCAGGCCAGGGATCGTGCGGAGTCAGGGCAGGACTTGACTTGAGGGCCTGTGGTTCTTCACCACTCTCTGCATGCTAGTTTACGTTCCAGTGGCATCTGCGGCCAGTGAAAGCCACACGTCAACACAAGCTGTGGTAGGAGAGGGGAGCTATTTGGGGCAGGAGGCAGACTAAGAACTAGACTCTGCTCCCCGTGGGTTTCAGCCCATTTCTTTTCCCTTTTGGGTTTCAGCTGTGTCCTAATTCTTCCCTGCACAGGGCAGTTGGATCTTTGCACGCAGCACAGCAGAGGTGCAACTCCTGAGGTAGCCATTCCACCCTGGGCAGGGCGGCCAGGTGGGGGCCCCGGACTTGTGTCCAGGAGGGCACTGTCTGTGTGCCATGGTCCATCAGCCTCTTGGAGATGAAACCCACATGCCCCCAAGAGGGGCACATGATGCCAACTTAGAGTTCAGCATCGCATCACTCCTCACCTTCTCCTGGACCCTGCCCTGATTTTCCGAATCTCCCTCCAGCCCTCTGCAGTACAAATGAGGAGGTCGATGACTCTGATACCAGCAGGCCTGGGGCGTTAAGATGGCTCGAAGCATATCAGTTAGGAAAAGCTCCAGAAGGAAACAGGATTCTACTCTGAAACTGCAAAAGAAGGCATTTTAATAAAGGAACTGAAAGGTGTGGGCATTGTAAAGGGATTCAGCGAAGGAGAACAAGGTGTCCAGAGTTGAAGAAAAGCAGTATGCCATAGGGGAAGATATTGTCATTGGAATCCAGTGAGGACCACAAGTGCAGAGGAGGGACGACCCAGCCAGTGGCAGAACAATGGCCCAAACAGGAAGGTGACAGGGAAGACATACCCCAACGCCCTCCCTTCCTATCCTGTTACTTTCTGTTAATACTTGCTGAGGACAAGCCAAGTGGCATTTAGAATCCCCGGTAATTCAGTCCCAAGGAGCCAGCATCCCAGGACCCAGGAGAGTCCAGCACATGGGTCTGTACTGGGGAAATGGGAGACAAATGGAAAATAATGGTTCAGTGTCATCAAATGGAGAACAATGGTCATTCCCACAGAGGACGGAGTTGACAGCTATGAGCTGTTCTGATGTTAGGACTGATAAAGACACCACACTACCTACTATTAAGCCTTATCATGTACAATATACTGTTCCTAGGACTTTGCAAGTGTTACCTCACTTAAGCCTCATAGCAACCACATGAAGGAATCACTCTTCTTGTTTTCCACCTTGATAGTAGGTCAATATGCCAGATATAATACACTGATTTTTAGCACCATCTCTGCCTTTCTTAATCTCCCAGGTATTGCAGAGGCTGAAAGCTTAAAAGCTATGTTTCTCAGGATCCCAGCAGGCTTCCAATTTAGATTCTCAGCCAAGTTTTAGGAGGCAGAGGAAACAGAGCAATCATTTTCTCATGGCAGCTGTGTGCAGGCATGCAAATTTTAGCAGATGGCAGTCATGAGGTTTTGCCATTAACTTTGGGTCTTTTCCTGCAAATCATCCTAATTTTCTCATTTGCAGGGGGTTCCAATGATTCCTTTAGTTGACTGAGCTCCTGAAAAGAAGCAACTGATTTTCCTGACCTTGGAATCAAGCACTTTTGATGGTTTTAGAACTATTCATTTTCGTGCATTAAATACCTTTCTGTTTGAGATACATAGGCCATTTTCTATTTTCTTGACAGAATCCTGACTGATAAAGTACCTAGTACTGAAAGTTGCTCCAGGAAATACAACTGCAAAGATGAAGGGAAATCTAAGATTCAGTGTCAGGCATGGATTAGCTTGAGGCCAGTAACGACCTCATGCTAGTGGAAAATGGGTTTCTGGAAAAAGACATTGCATGCAATGTCTTCAGTTATGACCTGTCATTCATGGTATCAATTACTTGTTAAAAGAGACCAAGCACTTTTTTGATAGGATTTTCTGGTGGAAGAGATAAATACAAGGGTTAAAGTTACTGAATGCAATGGAAAATTTACAGAAAACATACAAAACAAAATACCCCGACAATCTCAGGGCTTCAAAATTTCAACTCAGAGGCATAAGTCAAAAGCATCAGAGAAACTTCTACAACTGCCTCTGAAAGAATCTCTTATCGTAGTGGAAATCAAACCCAGAGTTGTTCCTGCAGGTGGCAGAATTACAACCAAACTTGAATTCACTGCCTCTTTAGGTGCTTATATGAAAGGTGATTAATTGGGAAGGACATTGACCAGGAATATTGCATTGGGACACTTGGGTGTGTTAAGATGAATCAATGTACTTCAAAACCTTAAAGCCTACTGTGCTGCCCTTCCTTTCCTTTCTGGGAATCTAGTCCTTTCTTGCTTGAAGACTTTGTAAAGACTCATCTGAAGAAAGTACTTTCCCAGGGAATGTGGATTCTCCCACATGCACTACCCCCCATCACCCTCCCATGGCAGTCAGTAGAGTCATCCCAGCAGAATTCATAGAAATCAGTTCAAATCTGACCCAGGAGAAGATAGAAAACACACTAAAAGAACCACAACATTCTGCTAATATATATTTGTAGAAACCTGAGGATTATGTGCAAGAATGAATTCTAAGGGACTTAGGAGAGAGACAAAGTAAAATCTGATTTGACTGAGCCAGATTTATCAGTCTAGGTGCACTTAAGAGAAATTCTGAATTCAGTGGTTTACCTAGAGCAGCTGGAAGTAGCTCTGTTTGGTTGAAGGACTAAAACAAATGGCCTATATTAAACAGAATTGCTTTCCAGCATATAAAAGAAGGAATCTAAAGTCTTAGATAACAATGCCAGAATGAAAGAAGAAGAAAAAAAAGAATGCCAGAATGGATTCCTAAATTGTGACCTGCTCCCTGATCCTTTAACTCTAGTTTATGAGATTCCTGAGAACACTTTGTGATATCAGGCATTGAAAAACACATCTCCAAGGTGAGCACCAGAATCCCTGGAGGGCCCTGCTGTGGCCATTGTCTGTAGGCTGGGGATAATGTAGCACGTACCCATCTGGTGGAAAATTGATTACCGTCGGCCCCTTCCGTCATAGTCAGCAGTTTTTCATCACAGGACTAGACATTTACTTACTCTGCCTATGGATGTGTCTCCCATGCCCACAAGCCTTTGCTGCCCTGTCACACAAAACTTACTAAATGCCTGGTTACTCATCACAGTGGTTTTGCATCTGGCATGACTTCTTACAAACGGATTAAAATGCAACAGAAGTGAGGCGATGCACTTGGTGCCCATGGGATTCACAGATCTTCCCATTGGCCCCACCACCTACATAAGCCGCATGCCTGACAGAACAGTGGAATGGCCCCATGAAGATTATGCAACTGAGCCTGTTGAGATCTCATGACCTGTGAGGCTCCAGGGCTCTTTTACCAAGTACAGTGTCTATTATGAAGCACATTCAATAGGAGCTGATTCATGTGTGGCCACAAAGCTTGGATTTGGGAATCAAGGGATAAGAATGGGACTGGCTTCATTTACAATTGCACCTAATGATCCACACGCAATAAAGTTTTGCTTCTTAACACTGCAACTTTGAGCTCTCGAGATTGAGAGGCCTTAGTTCTCAAGCGAAGAATGCCTCTACCAGGGAATACGATGGATTTATTGCATGGAGAGTTGAGACTGAGACCTGGCCATTTGGAGCTTTTTATACCACTGAGCCAACAGGCAAAGGAGGTTAGTGTACTGGTTGAGAATACTGACCCCAAATATTGAAGAACAGAGATTTGCGCCACACATGGGGACAAGGAGGAATATGTCTGAAATCCATTACATCCTCTGAGGATGCTCTTTGTATTTCATTATCCAAAGGGAGAAATCAGTGGAAAACTATAGCAACCCCATACAGGAAAAACCATCAAGAGCTCAGAAACAAACATCTGGTCACCCCAACAAGTAAAGAACCACAATCAGCCAAGGTTCAAGTTGGAAGAAGGAATTTACAAATGCCAACCGTGGCCTCAGGGTCAGCTGCAGACTGGAGAACAGTTGCAGCTGCCTGGGTTTTCATATGTGTCTTGTTGTGTATTTGTATGTATCAATTTCCCTTTTTTCCTTCCTTTCCCCAAGTGTTCAATGGGTTACATTGATTACTGATCTTTAGGAGGTGAGATTGTGCTGGCCATGGAGGAGGTGTACCTCCCAGATCTACTTCAAAAGAACCTGCTGCAGGAAGCATAGTGGGTGATGGCCTTCACCTACTCCTCCTCCAGATCCATCATAGCAGTCAGACCAAGACTGCTCTTCTGTGGAGTGGCTGAGAGTGGCAGGGGCCACTTTTTCTTGGGCCATTACTGTTCAACCTTCCACCATTTGCTCAGGAACTCCCATCAACCTGCTCCAGACTTTCTCAGACCTGCAATGGGGTCTGAAAATGCTCTGCCTCCTCCTGTTCCCAATAGTCTTTATCCTTGCCCGGCATTTCCCCAATAAATCTCTTTCACTTATGATTCAGTCTCAGCATCGACTCTTGGAGGACCCAAACTGACAGGGATGTGAAGCTGGGAGTGTGATTAAACAAGGAGGGCTGATTCTCACTCGAAGATGGATATGATGATTTATGAGACTGTTCAGAGGATCAGAGTGTTCTGTCTGTGTGGAGGATAGTTATATTGTATTAGGAGCATGCTGTTGTTACTATTCTTGTTTTCTAGAAATTGTAATGAAGAAGGTTGTGTGCATACACAGAGCAGCCAACTTGGTAGGCTTGCTAGATGGTGTCTATAGACACTCAAAATCCAGTTCCCCTAAATCCTAATTCCATATTTCTGGGTCATGTTGCAGCTGCCTTACTCTAGTATCCTGGCTATGATTTGGGGTCCAATGAGATGCACTCACTAATATCTGCAATGTACAATGCAGACAGTAGCAGTGCCAGCTAAAGCTGAGCTCTGGTGGAGTTGGATTTTTACAGTGACCTAACTCTTCAGCGTGGTATTTCCTCCTGGTCATCAGCTACAGTCTGAGGCAGCCTGGGGGAGAGAGGGTAGCCATGTTTCCCACCACCTCCCAACCATTGGCTGGGGTACCATCCTCTTGGCCTCAGGTCACAGACAAAATGACGTGACCTCATAAAATCCCTGGCAAGCTGGAGAAGCAGCCCTGCAAGCCAGGCTGCTCTTAAGATAAGGGTTTCTGAGGCCGGGCGTAATGGCTCATGCCTGTAATCCCAGCACTTTGGGAGGCTGAGGTGGGTGGATCACGAGATCAAGAGTTCAAGACCAGCCTGGCCAACATGGTGAAACTCCATCTCTACTAAACATACAAAAACTAGCAGGGTGTGGTGGCGGGCACCTGTAATCCAAGCTACTCAGGAGACCGAGGCAGGAGAATCACTTAAACCCAGGAGGCGGAGGTTGCCGTGAGCTGAGATTGCGCTGCTGCACTCCAGCCTGGTTGACGGGCAAGAGTCTGTCTCAAAAAAAAAAAAACAACCAAAAAACAAAAAAACCATAGAGGTCTGTTTACTAACCTAGAGCTGCTCTATCCTTTCATCCTTGTTCCCCTTTCAACCGTCTCTTGCAAGTACTAGTTTTGCCATTAAATGCACATTTTGTTTTGCAGAATGAGAAGAGCTTATAAATACTTCAATTTTTCTGTTTCTGTTTCACTCCTTTCCATTTCTTTCTACAAATTACAGTAAAATTTTAAAGATATAAAATGATATAAATAACACCATAACATAAAACACTGCAGAGTCAAGGCCCTCTGAGGATCTCTCATTTCTTCCAGCCATACGAATATCCTGAACTTTGCGTTTCTTTTCCCTTTGCAGTTGCTTAGTTTTTTCTACATCTGAATATATCCTTACACGTCTTTAAAATTTATAGAAATGTCACACTGAATACATTTTTCTGTAACTTGCCTTTGCACTGCATTGTGAGATTAAGCTATGTTGATCTGTTTAACTCCAGCTGATGTATGTAATCACCTGCTAATGACATTCTGTTGTTATAACAAAATTTATTCAGGTCTCTGATAATGAGTATCTAGATTGGTTTGTTTTTTTATTTATGAAGTTAGCAACTGTGTGCTTCTAATTTTTTATTATAAACTATGGTGCTACGAATATTCCTGTATATGCCACCTTCAAAATTTTAAAATTTTAAGTGTTTTAAAATTCAGTCATGTCAGGATACATTCTGAGAAATGTATGGTTAGGCAATTTCATTGCTAGGCACACAATATGGAATGAATGTATGCAAACCTAGATGGCCAAACCTACTACACACCCAGACCATATGGTATAGCATGTTGCTCTGACCACCATCATATATGCAGTTCATCACTGACCAAAATGGCATTCTGTGGCACATGCCTGTATTAACACTTGGGAGAAGTGAGTCCATGTCTCACTTCTGGGGGCTGGTGTAGATGCTACCCCATAGCAGATGCTCCACAGATGCTTGTGTGAGGATGGAAAGGGAGAGAAGAGAGAGAAGAAAGAGAAGGAAAAAGGGTGGGTCCAAAGCTTAGCAATCAGGTTTATCACCAGTAAACATGGTGGCCAGCAGCATTTGAGACCCCAGTCCTAGCAAAAAGGGGTACTGAGGAACCCACACCAGGGAGCGTCTCGCAGATCCTGAGATTACAGTGTAGGCCCTCCCCTCCTTTTCTGTCTCCTCCTGGATCCATGGAATAAATTGAGCTACAGACACAAACATACCAGGTCTTCCCCTGGAGCCAGCTCTTATGCCCCAGCTGAAGACACCCACTTGGAAGAGTCTCTGGGTTCCATAAATAGCACAGACCAGAGGTGCCCCGCTGTCTCCCTGGAAGGAGAAAAGGAAGAACAGTCTGCAATCAGTGGTACCTCCAGCAAAAGCATGCAGGGGAAAAGGGGAAGGTCCTCGTGTTGTAGGCTAGGGGTCCCCCATTTGGGAACCTAGAAAGTGTTGGGGTAAGTGGAAGGAGGAGGAGGCTGGGCAAGGGTTGAGTACCTTGCAGATGCCGTTGGTGCCTGGTTCCTTCCAGGCACAAATCATGTTCTTGGATAGCTGAGTTACCCTCTTGGCGCATTCTTTCTGGCTAATCTGCACCACTCTCAGCTTTTCCAGGTGCATGTTTAAGTCATCATATTGGTCTGAGAAACGGAGGAAGCTGGCGTGAGAGCAAGCCCTGCATCAGCCATCAGCAGCAACCAGCCCACACGTGATCAGCATGGAAGACTGAGAGGCCACCAGCATCCAGCAGATCACAAATTCACAGGGCGGGGGGACCTGGGGTGACTTCAGTCTCCTCTCCAGCAGCCCCACCGAGCAGTTTCTCTACTAAATGTGCTTCCTGTGGGAAGCTCACTCCCTCCAGAAGCAGCCCACAAAAGCCCCAGCCTCAGTCCCTGCCAGGGAAACTTAGAATGAAGGTCCTCCCTGCTCCCACCACCTCTCCACAGCCAGGCTTTATCCCATGCAGAGGATCAGAGCAGCCCAGCCTCTGAATTGGTGTTGGCCAGCATCTTCACCAAGCCAAATGGAGAAACCAAGAAAACACACCTGGTCATGCCATTTTGTCAGAAGGAACGGACCACAATGCTAGGGGAACTCCTGGCCTTCTCCTCACTACACTCCCACCCTCCCAGAGATCCCTAGCCAAGCAGCCTGGTGCCCAGAGGGAAAGGGGTGGAGTCATCAGTAATGGAGCTTAATTGGAGAATCACTGTCTTACAGCTATACATGGGGTGGCCAACAGATGGGGAGATGGCCATCGTGAAACAGCCACAGGTGGGAAGATCCAAACTGGCTTATTATGCTTTTGGCCCCACAAAAATGATCATCGCTCTCCTATTTTGAGATTCTTCTATGTCCTAGGCTTTTACTGGGGACCTCACTTAATTTAATCCCCACAACTTATTTGAGGAGGCATTCCTGACATGCTGCAGGTGAGAAAGCTGAAGGTGAGGAAGGTGAAGGAGCTCAAGAGAGAGAAAACCACGATTCAGACCCGAGCCTTCCCACACCCAAAGCTTCATGCTCTCTAGCCCGGGGCACCCTACATTTGGGCTTTCTATGGGTACTGAAGAGAGGGCACGTACCATACCCATTGGTTGTTACCCACTCTGCCACCCAACACCGGTCCCAGGTCCTCTCCTCCTCCTGCAGGCAGACAGGCATTTTGAAATTGGTGAATTGCACTGGCGTGGCGAGTAGAAGCAGAGAGAGGTCACTGTCGAGATGGGGTGCTTTGTAATCTTTATGAATAATGACCTTCCGCACTTGCTTTCTCTCTGAGTAGATGTTGCTGAATGTTCTTGTTCCCATGACCACGGTGACATTTACCACTGCCATGTCTAATCTAAAGAATGAATACGAAAACACCTATCCTAACAAGGGTGACAGTGCAATTCACATTCGTAGACACATTTGTAAACAGTGAGTTCACAACTAACTAAGGAGAAGTCCAGAGCAGTGGGTGAGCTACGGTGATCCAGAGCAGGGCTAGGACCAGATAGATAGGAATCAGGGGCTCATACTCTGAAAAACCTCTGAACCAGTGGGTTGTCAGCCCAGGAAAACTCCCCTGACCAAAAGAAGAGGAACGAGAGATGAGATTGTGAACTCTTTGAGGACAGGGACCTTGGCAGTCTTGTCAACTCCTATGTCCCAGCACTTGGAACAGTACATAGTAGGTGCTCAATGGGAAGGTGTTCAATCAGGGACTCCAGTGTGCTGTCTTCATACGCAGATGACAGACAGGAGAGTGTATTGATATACTGGGTGGGTAGCTCTGACTAGCAGCCCACCTTTGATATAGTTGGCTAAATAAAGAAGGGAGAGTGGGTGTAGGCAGAGACCCTGAAGTACAAAGCCAATGCAACACTCTGCACAGGGAACCTAGGGCTTCACAGGCCTGCGCACCGGCCTATTGATCTGCCCAGCCCAGACAATACGTTGACAAGGCAGGATGTAAATGAGGATACTTACAGGGTTCTTGAGAAGCAGTGTGCAGCTGTCAGAACCCACCACCGGTGTATGATTGAGCCTCCACAGAGGTGTTTCTGAGACATCTGGATACTCACTTGCCACGGAAACTCACCATTCTGGACTTGAAGCCGCTCATGAAATGGTAGCCACGAGGAGTTTGGAAAGGCAGGCCTGTAGCCACATTGAACGTTTTCTGAAAGAGAAAGGAAAGAGCCATTTGTACATGAGAAGCACAGAGAGGCCCCTATCCCTTATTACCAGAATCTTCCCAGCTAAGCCCAGTGCTGAAAGCTGAGTGAGGGGCCACAAGCAGGCTGAGGATGCGGGGAGCTCAGAAAACACCAGCAATCTGCATCCTTGTCAGTGTCCATTCCTCACAGCCACAGAGAGCTGGGAGACATGGGGAGTCTGGGCAGGGCTCCGTCAGAGGCACACGGGGTAACGGTGGCCATGGGGATACACCAAAGATACACAGCGTCCACTCAGGAGATGGAAACCTTGCAGTGACTTGAACAAGGAAAGTTTAACAGGAAGAATCACAAACGAGGGAATGACTACAAAGCATCAGGAGCACTCTACGATACAGCAGGGCAGGAGGAGAGTATCTGAGGAGGAGCCAAATTTGGCAGGGGAGCCCCTACCCAGGAACGGGACTCACAACACATTGGAGAACGTATGTGCAAGCCCAGTGGAAGGCAAAGACATTTGCCTGGTTGCTCCAGGCCAGAGTTGATCCCCTTTCACTAGAGAAACAGAAAGAATCCCTCTGGAGTGCAGGTGTCCAGGACTGGTGCAGCACACAGGTGCCTGCAGGGAGCTTGTCAGGAGCCTGCCCACTGGCTAGGGGGTGCAAGACCTGGGATGTGTGTGTCCGCCTTGGGACGCCGCAGTGAGAAGGTACAGAGGGCTCAGGGGGTTTTGAGGCTGATCCAAGAGAAAGATATGACCACGAGGCGGTAGCAGCACACACGTTTCATTTGGGAAATGCTCTCGGAGGCTGCACGCAGGGGAAGCCCTTTACAGCCTGAGACTATGTGGAGGTTACGGCAACACCATCCAGAAGAAGAAGAGGACAAGGGAACTTCTAAGGAAAGAGGACTCTGACAGGGGGCTTACTTGTCCGGGTGATGTGGTTCACTGGCACTGTGGGGAGTCTCTGGGTCAGAGAGCTCCCATGGGTGGCAGTGGCTTGGGGTCTGTTAGAGCCTCAGGCTTCATGTTACCTGTGGCTAGCAGATGTTGGGTGCAGTTTCACAGAGTATCCAAAGAAGGTGAGCTTTAGATGGCTAAACATCTACTTATTTAGATTATGTTCAAAATAGCTGGATGTGTAAAACCTTGAGTTTGACACCAGCAGGCTTTTGAGCTAATGAGAAGACTGCCATGAAGAAATTGGCAAGCTAAGGGCCATCCTTGGCTCATTTGTAGAACAGATAACTGAACAGGGGACAGGGCTTGAACTCACTGAGAGAAGCATGGCGGAGCTGAGCACCAGCAAGCATTCCTCACATGCTGTGGGCAACCACACCACAGGGCAAGAAGCAGCAAACAGAAGCATGCTGGACTGGACTGGAAAGAAAGGCCCTTTCCACCTGCAGTATCCTTCCAGCATCTAATGCTGAGAAAGCTTAATGTTGTGCTTGCTATAAAGAAAAATTTCTTAGAGGGTCCAGCTGCATTACTGCAGAGCAGGTAACGAAGGATGGGTTTGGATCTCAGAGGCAATAAATTGTAGGACCCAATTTATAGGGATCTAAAGAAAGCCTGTAGGGGGCTGGGGGTCACAAAAGACATGCACAGTAAAGGACATGGTCACTGTGGCCACCAGTCTCCAGCAAATTCCATTCCCTGAAGGACTGCTGGAAACAACCCAGGAAAATGAGAAGCAAAGAGAGATTTGGCACAGACATAATAAATATGTATTCTTTTTTAAAGGGACAGGGATAGGAAAAACAGTAACATTTACTAGATGAAATTCTAACTAGGAAAATGTTACCCAGAACAAATAAAAAAAATCTGAGTAGATATTTTGCCATAAATCATTAAAAAAAAAAACCTTATAAAGCAATCATCTATGTGAAAGAAAATTATAAATTAGAAACCACAGGGAGAAGTTATAAGAAAACACAAGGAGAAAATGAGAAAACAGGAGATGAGGCATGAGCTGGCAGACGTCAGGCTAGAAACGAAAAAATGAAATGACAAAAATTCCTTGGACAGCATAGTAAGGGATAAAGAGTAGAGAAGCAATGAAAATAAATAAAAACAGAGTTTAAAAGAGAGATTTTTGTGTGAATGTAATTTTTAATTTGGGGGGGATAAATACCTAGATAGGGACTGCTAGGTCACGTGGTCAGTGCACACCCAACCTTTTACAAAACTGCCCAATTGCTTTTCACATGACTGCACCATTTTGCATTCCCATCAACAATGAATAAGAGTTCCAGCTGGGTGCAGTGGCTCACGCCTGTAACCCCAGCACTTTGGGAGGCCGAGGCAGGTGGATCTCCCGAGGTCAGGAGTTTGAGACCGGGCTGACCTTCATGGTAAAACCCTGTCTTTACTAAAAATACAAAAATTAGCTGGACATGGTGGTTCAGGACTGTAGTCCCAGCTACTCCAAAAGCTGAGGCAGGAGGCAGGAGATTCACTTGAATCCAGGAGTCAGAGGTTGAAGTGAGCCAAGTTCGCACAACTGCACTCCAGCCTGGGAGATAGAGCAACATTCCGTCTTAAAAGAAAAAAAACAACAACAACACTGGGTAAGAGTCCCTATCACTTTACCTCCTTGTCAACACTTGGTGCTATCAGAAGTTTTTATCTTAGCCATTGTAGCAGATGCATAGGAATATTTATTGCAGGGTGGTTCACAATCCTCCAATCTGGAAATATCCAAATATTCCTCAATGGGTGAATGGATAAGTAACTGTAATCTATCCACATGATGGAATACCACCCAGAAGTAAAAATCAAAAGGAACTACTGGTGCATGCAACACCAGAGGAATCTCAAATGCGTTACGCTAAGTCAGAGAACCCATGCTCAGAAGGTCACATATTGTGTAGGGTTCTATTTGTATGGCATGCTGGAGAAGACAAAACCCTAGGCATGGATAACAAGACAGTGGCTACCAGGAGTTGGGAGTCAGGGAGGGGTGAGTACAAGTGAGCAGACAGAGGGGATTTTGGGGAGTACTTAAAATTTCAGTATCTTGTCTACAGTGCAGGTAACATGAATCTACGCATGTCTAAAAGCCCCATAGAATGGTACATCAAAACATAAATTTTACTCTTTATAAAAAGTTAGAAAAGTCATAGCTAGAGAATATAGGCAATGACTATTCCTGAATTTTAAATGACATATAAAAATAAGAACAGATGAACATCTCCTTAACATGATAAAGTGTATCTATCTTGGCCTGAAAGTGAGTAGCATGCTGACTGGGGAAAAGCTAGAAGCATCCCTGTGGAGTCAAGAACAACGAGGATGTCCACAACCTCTACTAATTCTTACCATTGTACGGGCAGCTAGGAGGAGATGGTGATAGATTTTGAGCAGAGAAACCCCAGAGGAGCCCTCTGCCACCGTGTTAGATTATGGCCGGAGTGGGTGGGAACAGGCACACAGGAGGAGAGTAAGACAGGGCTTCCATCCAGAAGAGTCTATGAGGGGCCGGGCGCTGTGGCTCAAGCCTGTCATTTTAGTACTTCGAGAGGCCGAGGCAGGCAGATCACATGAGGCCAGGAGTTCAAGAGCAGCCTTGCCAACATGGCAAAACCCCAATTCTACTAAAAACACAAAAATTAGCCAGTTATGGTGGTGGGCACCTGTAGTCCCAGCTACCCCAGAGACTAGGCAGGAGAATTGCTTGAACCCGGGAGGTGGAGGTTGCTGTGAGCTGAGATCACGCCACTGCACTCTAGCCTGGGAGACAGAGCAAGAGTCTATCTCAAAAAAAAAAAAAGAGTCTCTGACTGGACCAGGGATCATGGGTCGCTTAAAAATGGGACACATTCTGAGAAGTGTGTGGTTAAAGGCAAGCATCACAGAGTGAACTTACACACACCTAGATGGCATAGCCTGCTGCACACCTAGGCTGTATGGCATAGCCTATCGCCCCGGCTACAATCCCATACAACAGGTCACTGTACTGAGTATTACTGGCAACTGTAACACACGGGTATTTGCATATCTAAACATAGAGAAGATACAGTAAAAATAGGATCTAAAAGATAATACAGTGCACTTGTCCAAGGCGCCTACCATGAATGGAGCTTGCAGGGCTGGAGGTTGCTCTGTGTGAGTCAGTAAGGGAGCAGCAGTGAGTGAATGTGAAGGCCAAGGACACGGCTGTGCGTGGCTGTAGACTGTGAACACCGTACACTTAGGCTACGTTACATTAATAAAGAATTTTTTCTATCATCATTAATAAACTAATCTTAGCTTCTATAACTTTTTAACTTATAAACTTTTATTTTTTAATCTCTTAAAATTCTTTTGTAATAACATTAGCTTAAAACACACATTATACACTATAAACATATTTTGTTTCTTTGTATCCTCATTTTATGAGCTTTTTTATTGAAAAAATTAATTATATTTTACTTTTTAAACTTTTTTTAAAGAAGCCAGGACACAAACACACACATTAGCCATCCATAGACACATCAGCCTACACACGGGTCAGGACTGGCAGTATCATGGTCTTCCCCTCCACCTCTTGTTCCACTGGGGGGTCTTCAGGGGCAAGAACATGCATGGAGCTGTCATCTTCTGTGACAACAGTGCCTTCTTCTGCAGGCCTCCTGAAGGACCTGTCTCAGGCTGTTTTACAGTTACTTATAAGAAGAAAGAGTATACTCTAAAATTACCAAAAACTTAGGGTAATAAATACATAAATCAATAACATAATTGCTTCTTAGCATTATCAAGTACTATTTGATGTGCATAATTGTATGTGCTGGACTTACATACAACGGGCAGTATGGGAGGTCTGCTAACAGCACCACTGACACGTGAGTCATGGGTGGTGCTACAGTGACAGCTACGTTGTCACGAAGGGATGGGAATTTTTCAGCTCCATTGTAATCTTGGGGGACCACTGTCGTATATGCAGTTTGCCATTGCCCCAAACGTTGTTTGGCAGCCCCTGACTGTATTTCAAGTTGAGGGTGTGATCTTGCCCGGATCCTT